GCTTGCATCCTGAACTTTTAATCTGGGATTCTGTTTTATTTTAGGTTCATGGAGATGGGTTTAAGTACAATGGTCGAATTTGATTATGGGTTGTTATGGATTGCCCATGTGGTTAACAGGGTGATTGAAAGTTGGTTTTGGTGATGCCGTTTTTCAGGTTTCTTTTGGGAGATTCGAAAGATGATTGTTTTGTTTGAGACTCCAGCGGGGTTTGCCCTTTTCAAAGTTTTGGATGAAGGGAAACTCTCTAAGGTTGAGGTAAGTGTTCATGGTCTTGTGGTTTGCTATGATGGCGAAAAACATTAAGAGAAAGTGACATTATAATTCTGCTCAATGATTCTTTTTGTGGGTAGATTATCAACTTTGAAAAATCACTTCATCAATCTAGAAGCAGGCTGATTTTTCTAGTGGGTCACTTAAGCACATTCAGGTTTAACCTTTTATAAAAATTGTGGTTAAATTACAGGACTTGCAGAAAGATTTCTTGGATGCAGATTCGGCAAGAAAGGTACTTTCTCTGTTCTCTATCACTTGCAACAAGAAAAAATGTAATGGTTTCTGCCTGTTGGGATTGGGATGCATGTTTTATGGGGCATGTTATATGTTGTTATTTCTCTTTATGGATTTTTGTCCTTTTTATGGTTTTTATTTAAGTGTTAGTTCCATTAATAATATGATTTTTGTTTTGTGCCAACATCAGTTTGTGAAGTTGAAAGCGTTTTCTAAGTTTGAAAACACAGCAGAAGCTTTGGAAGCAGCAACCAAACTGATTGACGGGGCACCTAGCAAAGGTCTGCGCAAATTCCTGAAAGCTCATTGTGAAGGGGAAACATTGGGAGTAGCTGACTCAAAGCTTGGAAATGCAATTAAGGAGAAATTGGTAGGTCGTTACCCTTGATTATTGGGCATGATATGCTAACACCTTTGACATTGCTCTGTTGCAATATATTTTTCACTTTACTGAAGTTGGAAAAAATCCTTGCAGAAAATAGAATGTGTTCACAGTAATGCTGTCATGGAGTTGTTGAGAGGTGTGAGGAGTCAGTTGACTGACCTCATATCTGGTCTAGCGGTTCAAGATTTGGCCCCAATGAGTTTGGGTTTATCTCACAGCCTTTCTAGATACAAGCTGAAGTTCAGTGCTGATAAGGTACTTTGATTAATATATTGCTTTTTTTTTTTGAACAGATTGATTAATATATTATTAATATATTGTTACTCATGGAGTCTAGCTAAGGTTTTTCTTTTCCCTTCTCTGTTCTCTGTTAGTGGTCAGATTGGATCATGTAGTATACTTATTGACTAATAATGCTGATAATGTAAACTTCCATGTTATCATAAGTTGATTTATGAGGGCTTGGTACTGTAGGATATGCACTCTGAAGTTGATATTGTCTGCTGATTCTATATTATTTGTTTTGCTCTAAGTGATTTTAAGCACTAAGGGGTGATTTTTAGGTTCAGGTGACCCTAATTCTTATTTGTTTGTGTTTATAGGTGGATACAATGATTGTCCAGGCCATTGGCTTGCTTGATGATCTTGACAAAGAGCTGAACACATATGCAATGAGAGTTCGTGAATGGTATGGCTGGCATTTTCCTGAGCTTGTCAAGATTGTACAGGATAACATCCTTTATGCTAAGACTGTGAAGCTAATGGGTGACCGGGCAAATGCTGCAAAGCTTGACTTCTCTGAGGTAAGGATGAAGAAAGCTTGTCTCTTGCAGGCATATGATATTTGATGGTATCAGGGGCCTATGAAATTTAGTGTTTTTCTTGCTTATGGGCTTTAAAGGGAGGGGTAAAAATACTGTCTCTATTGTTTGGCACCATAGACATAGTCATGAAAAATTGTTCTATTCCCCAGTTCATCTTCCTTTGTTCTAGCATCTGAACAAGTGACTTCTATGGGTAGTTGCCTAAAAGTATATAACTTTATACTGTCATCTGCTTAAATTAGAAAACATTATAATTCTCATTTTTCTTGCTTTGGTGTGTTAAGCTGTTATCATCTTTACAAGATTAAATCAATTGTCAAGGAATATGTTTGAGTCTTCTTTTATATTTTCTTGCATTAATCTCCACAGATATTACCAGAAGAAGTTGAGACAGAGTTGAAAGAGGCAGCTGTTATATCTATGGGAACTGAAGTTAGTGACCTTGATCTGATAAATATCAAAGAACTCTGTGATCAAGTTCTGTCTCTAGCTGAATACAGAGCTCAGTTGTATGATTACTTGAAAAGCAGGATGAACACAGTTGCACCAAATTTGACTGCTCTTGTTGGGGAGCTTGTTGGTGCTCGCCTCATCGCTCATGGGGGCAGCTTGTTGAATCTTGCAAAACAACCTGGGAGCACCGTTCAGATTCTTGGTGCAGAAAAGGCTCTTTTCAGAGCTCTAAAGACAAAGCATGCAACTCCCAAATATGGGCTTATCTACCATGCATCTGTGGTGGGCCAGGCAGCACCAAAGCACAAGGGCAAGATTTCTAGGTCACTTGCTGCAAAAGCTGCTCTGGCAATTCGCTGTGATGCTCTTGGAGATTCCCAAGATAACTCTATGGGACTTGAGAACCGAGCCAAGGCAAGGATAAAATGGTCTTTGACTTTTGTGATTTACTCCTTTGAGTTTCTTAAATTACTAAGAGGAATCT